AGTGAGATGAATTGCCAGCAATAAGGTACTGGTTAAGTAAAATATGAGAGAAACTTACAATGGAATGCTACAGGACTATTAAAAAAATAATGTCGCAGAAATATATGTACTGCCACGGAAAGACGATTGTGATGTAATATTAAGTAACCCGAATGGACTACAAATAATGTGCAATGCTTGATTCTATTTTCCTGATGAAAAAATCTGTGTGTGTGTGTGTGTGTGTGTCCAGAAGGATATAGACCCCAGACTTAACAGTGACCATTTCTGGTGGGTGGTATATTTGCTGATTTTTTAAATAGCGAGCTGCTTTTGAAAAAAGAAGGAAGGATGGAAGAAAGAAAAGAAGAAAAGGGACTTAATTTGGGGAGCAATACCAAAAAGTAAAAAAAAAAACCCAAAGAAACCAAAAACCCACCTCCCCAGAAAAATGGGCATAAGGCCAGAGTGAAATATGTTCATTAAAAAAGTGCAATGAGCCAATAAACGCATATGTGAGTAGTCTTTGTTGGCAATAATTCAACATGCAATTAAAACAAAAATGTGATGCGATTCTTTTTCCTTCCCTTCCTCCCTCCCTCCCTCTTTCCCCCCTTCCTTCCTTCCTTCCTTCCTTCCTTCCTTCCTTCCTTCCTTCCTTCCTTCCTTCCTTCCTTCTTTCTTTCTTTTTCTCTTTCTTTCTCTCTTCCCCTTTCTTCTCTCTCTATCTCATTAAACTGAAATGTTTCTCTCCCAAGAAAAAGAACATCTTGGTTGGGAGCACAAGGACATGTGCAAGCTCACAGACAAAACCTTCCCAGAGAACAACACGTCAGTAGGCAGAGTTTCAAAGCCCTCTTCTCTGCGACCTCCCAGGTCCACCTTAGCGGCTCCCACCGAGACTCCTGCTCTGGAATTCCCATGTCAGCTTTCTACACGAAGGATCTATTATGCTCCATTGGCACAGAGTACATTGTTAAACAAGTATTTAAAGACACATTTAATAAAAAATATTTAATACTGTAGGGAAATGGACAGGACCAACTGCTGAAACCAGAAACCTGGCCCTCACCCTGATTCCTCCCTGTTCCCTAGACTTACCTTGTGGTTTTCCCCCCCCCCTCCGCCCCCAAATATACATTTTTATTGATTTCAGAGAGGAAGGGAGAGGGAGACAGAGATAGAAACATCCATGATGAGAGAGAATCATTGATTGGCTGCCTCCTGCAACGCCCCACACTGGGGATCAAGCCCGCAACCTGGGCAAAGGCCCTGACTGGGAATCAAACCCTGACCTCCTGGTTCATAGGTCAATACTCAACCACTGAGCCACGCCGGCTGGGTGATGTGGGCTGGTTTTGTAAATACCCTTTGCATTCACCTCTTCCTCTCCATTCCCAAGGCAACTGCTAGGGTCCAGGCTCTTCACTGGTTCTTCTCAGGATGTTTGCTGCCACCGCCTCATGGGCCAGTCTCCTTGCTTCTCCTTCTTCTTCTTCTTCTTCTTCTTCTTCTTCTTCTTCTTCTTCTTCTTCTTCTTCTTCTTCTTCTTTTTTTTAAATAATATATATATTTTTTATTAAATTATTACTTTTGTACATATACCAATGCCCCCTCCTTGCTTCTTGTCAGGTTCCCCTGAAGTCTCTTCTGTGCCTGACAGCAGTACCATCTTTCTACCAAGCAAGGTGGCGCCTGTGTCTTGACCCTGCTCATGCTAGTAGATCCTCAGAAGCTCCCTCATTTCTTTAGGGCCGAGGCGAAATCCCTCGGCGTGGAATCAAGGCCGCTCAGAGTCTCTTCCAACCGCGATCTATACTCCATCTGCCCCGAACTGTTTATAGCGTGTCAACCTCCACAAGCACACATGCGGTTCCCTGGGCTCAAACGCCCCATTCTCCGAGCGGCCAAACCGGAGAACTTCAAGCCCTTTTCCTGTCTCAGCTCGGTCTCCACTGTCTCCACGTCCCCCGGGAGCCTTCTCGGCCTGTGCCAATCAGATGGCTCCCTGTGCGCATCTCCCTAACCTGGCACCTGTCCCTTCCTCTGCTATCACAAGGTCCAGGCTGTCTGTCCATTCATTCACGCATGGCTCCCACAGAACTGACTGAGCCGGCGCTGGGGAGAGAATGGCCCGCCGCAGACATGTGCCTCCTGGCCCAGGAGCAGAACGCCATGGCTGCCACCGTCAGCCTGTCTGACTCAATGAGCCTTTGTGAGATGATGAATGCTCCTGTTTCCATGTTCCTCCGGGCCTTTGCCCTTGACGTTTCCTTGGCCTGGGACACTCTCTCCAGCCTGCATGGCTGACTGCTGCTTGCTCAGATTGTCTGGAGCTGCTTTCCCTCCTGCCCCCTCCCTCTCCAGCGCTCCATCCAGATTTACCCTCTCCATAGTGTTTGTCGCCAGTCGGCTTATTTGTCTGCCTGTTCTTACCCAAATGGAACCTTCTCAAAAGCAGGGGCCTGGTGCGTCCTGTGTGTGTGCCTGGTACATGCATGATAAACGAGTGAGTGGATTTGGAAGATAAAGGAGGCAGGTGTAGGAAAGGGAGCCTAACACTCGGTAATCACAGACCCAATGCCAAGGAAGCGTGGGCATCTCAGACACAGAACAGGCAGTGGCAAGGGAATCACAATAACACAACTGACAGCTGTGGGAGGTGCCCTGTGGAGAGGAGGGAGGCGGTGAGGCAAAGTCCCAGCAGGGAGAGGCCTGCTCTCCAACATGGAGAGATCTCCAAGCAAAACACCATTACTTCACTCTCTTACTGTTCATCCTCTCTTCAGAATCTTTCCAGAATTATTGAGGGAAATGTAGTAAAAAACAAAAACAAAACACAAACACAAAACAAAAAAAACACACAAAACCTAAACACTTAACTTTTGACAATTCCTTCAGTTTCATCTTAGCTTTCTTTTCTTCTATTAAAAGAAAAGGAAATACCTTAGATTTTAAAATAGCAACTATAAGGTGTAGTGATTTTAAGATATTTATTTTAACCCTGCATTTATCCATATATATGCATAGGTGTTCATATATAATAGATGTGTAGATATATTTCTATAATATATATGTCTAAACATGCCTGGTATTTATATGATATTCATAATCCACATACGGTATATTTCTATGCCATATATATGTTTACAAAGATTCTGGGATTTATCTGATATTCATGAGACTTATTTCTGACTGATAAAAATTTGATCTTCTTTTATATTCTGTATTTTCCTGCATAGTTTTAATATTTCATAATGCACATGTATTGTACCGAGTGATTTAAAAACATATTTGGAAGCAGCTATACAAAAATGTAACTGATAGTCAATTTGGGAGATAGAACTATTAAGATATTGTCTTTGTATTTATTTTATTTTTTTTCTACTAAAAATTCTTCATTTTAAAGTGTAGTTTTCTAAAAGGAAAAAAATGTGAATCCAAGTCGAGGTTGAGTGAGTCTGGGTCAAGGCGACTCTTCAGCCTGGAGAGGCCCCGGGCACAGAAAGGATACGCCGCAGGGCCAGGGACCAGGAGCCAGGGATCAGGGACCAGAGAGGAAGTCCTTAAAGCTGGGCCTCTCTGGCCTGCGGGCATCTGGCGGAAGGACACGCTCTACCCTGTGGCAGCCTGGCTCCTGGGAGGACGTCTCAGAGGTGAAAGGGCCAGGACCTCACCGCTCCCACAGCGGCCTAGGTGCAGGCAGAGGTTTGCCAGCAGCAGTGAGCCCCGCCCCTCGCCCCCTCCTCCAAGGGGAGCCGAACAAAAACCAAATTTGGGGGATTATACATGAATATGCGCAGCAGGCCGCACAGGAGCATTGAGTTTTGTTTGTTTTGCCCCAAGAGAGGAAAACCATTCCGGAGGGAAGGAAAGGGAGGACCTGCTGGGGGAGATATTCCAGCGTGTACGCTGGGGCACTGGGCAGGGGACAGGCGCAGCCTTCACGTCCATCATCCTGGCATCGGCCACGTGCCTGCCCATCTTTTCACCCCACGGACGGTGGCCTCCTTCTGGGGTCTGAGTCCAGCTCGGCGTTCAGTGCCCCCTGCCCATCGCCTCGCAGGGGCATGGTCCCCGCAGGGGTCCTCAAACTTTTTAAAGTGGGGGCCAGATCACGGTCCCTCAGAGAGCTGGAGGGCCGGACTATATGAACTACTAATTCCTACTGTAACACCTTGGCTGCGCTCACTGCCCAAAAAACCTGGCGGGCCAGATCAGACTCCTGCAGCCCGCAGGCCGTAGTTTGAAGACGCCTGCCTCGCATCCGCATCCGTCCCACCTCGGGGTTTGTGTAGGGGAAAGCGGGATACACACACCTACGCAGGGGGCAGGCTTTCTCTGGCTCCCTTGAGGAGCCCGAAGGTCCTACTGGAATGGTCCGCAGCCAGTCAGCCCCCTGCACAGGGGGGTCTGCAAACCCCAGCCCCGGAGGGCCAGCCGGAGGGGGCCACGGAGCCGGCCAGGTGCGTGCGCCTCTTCCCAGGCCCGCCGGTGCCGGTGCCGGTGGTACCCAAGGGCGGAGGCTCTGGGATCCCTTGGGATGGAGTAGAGGCAGGGGTCTCCTGCGCGCAGTGTTCCCCATCCCAGGGCATCCCGGTCCTCCCCAAGTCACCGCACTCGCCTTCCCTCCCCATCTGGCGAGTGGGGAGGCTCCCGCCTGCAGGACGCGGGGGCGGGGAGGAGCGCAGGGAGCGGGGCTGCGGAAAGCGCGGGGAGAGGGCATCCCGGGGGGTGTGGTGGCTTGCTGGGACCCCATCCCGGTGCGGGGGGCACACCCTCCCTCCCCTGCGCCCTCCGGGTCCGGGGTGCGGACCAGGCCCGCCCCGCCTGCACGCGGCCCCGGGCGGCTGGGTGGCCCGCGTGGCCGGGCAGCGGGCGGAGGGGCCGCGGGGCGGCGGGAGCCGGGGAGGGGGCACCCCGCGCGGGCGGGGGGAGCCGGGAGGACCCGGACGCACGCGGCGGCCGGCGCGCTCCCCTCCCTCCCGTCCCCTCCCCCGCGGCCCGGAGCGGAGCCGCCTGACGTCACGGCCCCGCCGGCCCCGCGCGGCACCGGGCAGAGCGCGTGCGGCCGCCGCCGAGCACATGGGCCCGCGGGCCGGCGGGCTCGGGGCGCCCCGGACCGGGCCGGACCGGGCGGAGCAGCCGGGGGCCGCGGGCTGGGACGGCCCCGCTCCCCCCGGGCGCCCCCCGGGTGGATTTCCACGCGGAGAGGATGTCTGCCGGCCGCCCCGGGGACACGGCCCGGAGCACCTTCCTTCCCGTAAGTTAGAGCGCTGCCCGCCGCGTCTCTGCACACTCGGAGCTCCGGGCCTGGCGGGCAGGGATGCTCCGGGGGCCGCTGGGCCGGGGAAAGGGGCTTCGGACCCGTGTCCGGGTGAACAGTGCACTTTGCTCAGCACCAGACTCCGGGCGGGCGGGTGGGGAAAGGGGGGAGGGGGAGGGGCGGGTGGTGACATCCAGGGGCCCGTGCATGTGCATGGAGCTTCTTATTCTGGATCGAATGCACTTGACCCAGCGTTTCCTGCCTCCTCTGCAAACACAGACCAGCTCCAGCCAGCACCCCCCGGGTGGGGTCGCAGGTGCGGTTGGGAGGCCCCTCTGGGGACACCAGAAGCCTAGCACCCATAGGATGCTTGCTTCCTCCATCCTTAGATCCTTAGACCATCCTCCCCCCCCCCCCCCCAAGGTGATTTCTCAAAACTCAGCAACTCTGGTCTTGGAAACTTTGGCATCGCATTTCCAGATTTGCTGGGGACCCCTGATCTTGGCGATGGTTTGGGGATGGGCTGTTGATCGAATCGGGTTTGCCCCCCCCCCTGCTCATGCGCCCTGACTTATGCCCGTGTTTGTGGCCGGGCGCAGGCTTGCAGGAAGGGCAGCCATGAGGCTGCATGTGTCCCTTGCATGGGATACACACCACGTATTTTCCCGAGGGGTTTGCAGCCGTGGACTAGAGTCTTCTGTGTATCCCGGCCCCATGACCTCAGGTCCTTCTAGAAGAGGAGAGTCTTTAGGGAGAGAAGAGGGTGAGGTTTGGTGGCTGTTTTCCAGAGGGAGGCGGGCAGGCCCCTCTCACCCAGCCAGTCCAGGCTGCCGGGGAGCTGCCCGGTGGCTGGAGGGAGCCATGGAGAACAGTCTGTTTGTGTGGGGTGGGTGGGCGGACGGGTGGGCGGGGGCCCCGGGGACGCAGGGCCGCCTGGGCTGTGCTGTTGGTTATGGGATGAGGCAGGCCTCTTTTGCATGCTGGCTGTGGCAAGTTGAGGCATGTCCATTTGACACAGTCCTGTGGTCACAGCTCATCTGTCTGTCCAAAGCTCCGTCCAAAGCTCCCACCCATGGAGTCGGGGGTTGTATGGATCCTCTGAACCCGGAGGAGAACTTCCTGAGAATATTAGGAGCAAAAAAAAAAAAAAAAGGTCCCTGGAAGCAGCAGGAAATACAGGATCCCGGGCTGGCTGAGCCTCATGGCTGGCCGGGGCCTCGTGGCCCTGGTCTCTGCCGTCTGAGAGGAGTTTCCATCTTGAAGGTGAGAGATGCCTTGTGGCCTGAGCCAATGGCCAGAGGGCCCGGTTGGCACTCCATGCCCTGGACTGGGGGGTGGACGGGCAAGGGGGCGGGGGGGGGGGGTCCATGGCCCATCCTCAGGCTGTGTCCACCGGCCCCAGGGGCCACTTGCTATGTGGTCACATTGTACCTTTGCCTGGCTAAGGGCGACTCTGTGTTGTTATTGTGGCTTTACCTGCTTCGAGGGCAGGGTTTTGCACACAGCAGGCTTCTCTCGAAAAGTAGAAGCAATCAGTTTCTTTTTCTCATTGATTGCCCTCCCTCCCTCTCTCCCCCTCCCCCGCTCCTCCATGCTGTGTGGTGTGCTGGTGTGCGCCTGCCCAGAGCTTTTCTGGGCTGGAAAGAGGGAGCTTTTCCTTGGTTCTGGAATATCTGATCCCTCCCTTTCCCCTCCCCCCCGCCGGCCATGGTTTGTGTGGTTGCTTGTTCATATCGCTGTCCACATGTAGCCAGGCCCTTGTGCTTCCAGCTTTTATCCTCCTGAATGGGAGGAGGACCGGCCAGCCGGCCTTGGGGGCCTGGGTCACCATGCCCATGGCCTCCTGCCTGCCCGGGGTGGACCCTGTACTCTGGAGGGCTGCTGGGGGGACGAGACACCTTCCTTTCTTCCTCCTTGTGTGAGGGACCCTGAATTTGGTCAGACGGAAGGCAGATCGACCCTTTCCCGGGGGAAGCAAGGACCTTGGATAGTTGCCAGGTCCGATCCCTGTTCTCATTCCCCAGCCTGTTCGCTTCCCGGGACGTGTTTTTGGTGTCAGACACCCTCCCGGACACTCGGCTTGTTATTTTGTATTTCCTTTCGTAGTTGGGCATAGACAGAGCACTCTCCCTCATCTCCCCCCACCCCTTCCCATGCTGGACCCCCATCTTTGTATACTCAGTGTCTGCGAGGGCACCCCGACCCAAGATGGGAACGCAGCAATACTCTAGGATAATTCTGGCTACTCTTTTGTTGTTGTTATTATTTTAATTCTCACTCGAGGATATTTTCCCGTCGATTTTTATAGAGAGTGGAAGGGAGGGGGAGAGAGAGACAAACACCGATGTAAGAGAGACACATCAGTGGGTGGCCTCCGGCTCCCGCCTGAACCGGAGCCAGGGATCGAGCCCGCAGCCAAGGTACACGCCCTTGACCGGAATTGAACCTGTGACCCTTCATTCTGCAGGCCGACTCTCTATCCACTGAGCCAAACTGGCTAGGCCTAGGATAATTCTGACTATTGATGGGTCGCATCGATGGTCACTTCAACACCTTCCCTTGAGAACTTCACAAATGCTAGGCCTTACGGGAGGAAACTGCCAACATGTGTTCTTCGATAGGTTACCTCCTGTCTCTTTTGTTTTTCTGGCCCCCAGTAACTGGTAACAGCGTAGCTATGAATAAGAACAACAAAAATTAAAATTGTATAGCATGTCACGAATGTTCTTTGCAGTTCATGTTCCCTGCGACCCCAGGGGGCAGATATAATAAAATTATATATACATTTTTTAAATAAAATATATCACGAGGCAGGTATAATAAAATGTCTAGTGAGGACAGATTTCTTATTGTGGGCTCACCTCAGTTCCAAATGCTTTGGATGTACGGCATTATCTCCTTTAATCTCCCAACCGTCATGCAAGACAGGATTGTTATTATTGCCGCTTTACAGATTATTGCTTAACGCGCAGCTCAGAGAGGTTAAGAGTTTCCACCGAGGCCGCACAGCGAGGCCGTGGCTCTGTGACCGGCACGGCATCCTGGGGCCCTCCGCAGTGGACGGGGGCTGGAACTCCTGCCGGCGATGAGGCCGCCTCCCCGACGCCCCCTGTTCCGGTACCTGCCCCGGTCCTGGGTGTGTGGGTGCAGTAGTGACTCTAACAACACAAAGAGTGTGGTGGCCCCTCTCTCAACTTTATCATTACACCAAAAAACAGCTCTGACTTTGTGTTTTTTTTTTAGTTTTTTTTTTTTTTTATCATAAAAACAAAAAAAAAGCTGGTCGGAGCATTGTCGCGTGCATCCAAAGGCTGCAGGTTCGATTCCCCGTCCTGGTTGTGGCCTAGAGCCCTTTGCTGGGGTGTTTGGAGGAGGCAGCCAATCGATGTTTCTCTCTCGCTCTCCCTTCCCCTCTCTCTAAAATCAAACAAAAAAAGCAAAAAAAAAAAAAAAAAATTTTTTTATAAATAAAATAAATTTAAAAACAACAACAATGCTAGGTAATAAAAAAACAGTGATCTCAATCAGTTTTTATTTTTTAATACATACATATTTTGTATAGTTGATAATACTACAGATCTCTCCCATTTCCCCCCTTCTTCCCAGCCCCTATGCACACCGCAGGTCTTCATCCCTCTGTTGCCCGTGTCCATGCTCAGTCATGTATTATTTGCAGAATTCTGAATGGGCTTTCTTTTGTTTTCTCTTCCTCCTTTTTTTGGGAGGTGGTGGTGGTGGTGGTGGTGGTGGTGGTGGTTGTGGGGTATGGTTTGGCTGGTACCTGGTGGGTTATCTGAGCTGCAATATTATTTGTTTACCTGCCTCTTTCCCTTCCTTGATCATGAACTTGAGTGCAGCGGCCAGCCGGCTGTGGGCGGTAGTCATATGGATCTGGGTTCCTTGGGGGCAGGTTGCTTCGCTTCTCTAGGCCGAGGTTTCCTCATCTATAAAGTGGTGGTGGTGGGGTGGGGAGAGAAAGCACCAACTTCCCAGGGTGCCGTGAGGAGGAAACCGCGCAACAGCGGAAGGACAGCAGGCCCCTAGCAGAGGCCTGGGCTCCCGGGCGCACCCCGGAGGGAGGATGGCTAATATTATTAATTCTAATGATGGGGTTTGCGGCTTCCTGTCGCTGCTGGAGTGGTGGTTTCTGAGTGCCTTGTAACGTGCAAAGGTGTAACGTTCTGGTCACAGAGCCTCTGGTCACAGGGCTCTTTGCAGGCATCTGAAAGGAGTGCTGGCTCCGGAGGAGGGCCGGGGCACTGCAGGAGCAGGCCTCAGGGGGGCAGGCGTCCCAGGGCACCCCGGTGGGCGGGGGGGGGGGGGGGGGGGGCTGCCTCTGTGCTCTGTGCATCCATTTCCTCAGCGGCTCCCCTGGGGGACACTCTCCCTCCTGGGGATGGGGCGAAGCTCTTAGCACAGAGGAAGTCAGCTCTTGAGTAAGACAGCAAAGCGATTGCTGTTATTCATTCTTCTCCAGGACTCCCTTTTCCCGGTAAGTGAGCCCTCACTGGCATGTGCTGTCCTGTTTTAAGATCGATTCGTGGATGGACCCGCTCATTTGCTAAGCAGCGGGCAGGCGTCCTAGACACCCTGGAGATGCGGAGGAGACAGCCATCCCTGCCATCCGAGGGGCGCTGGCACCCCCGTGTTAACGGGTGGAGGATGCTTCCCCGGGCCTGGCACGCGGGATAATTGCTGTATCTGTTGTCATCAGGATGATGGTTTCCCCTTGGCGGCTGCCTCGTAAAACGGCCACCTCCCTTTCTGCCCCTCTCTTCCTGGGGTGTTGTTTAATCCCCCCCCCCCACCCCCCCCCCCCCCCCCCCCCCCCCGCCATCAGACATGTTGTGGACGGAATGTCGGTGCCCTTCCAAAATTCGTAGGTTGAGCCAAAACGGGTTTGGCTCAGTGGATGCAGGCGTCCTCAAACTTTTTAAAGTGGGGGCCAGATCACGGTCCCTCAGAGAGCTGGAGGGCCGGACTATATGAACTACTAA